CCCCCCCCCCCCCTCTTAAAAAATAGAAACAAGAACACAAAACAACCAACCAACAAATCAAACAATTAAACGAACAAACAACCACCAACCCTTTTCCGTAATCTTGTCAAAGACTATCAGCCCACCCTAACCTTTCTCTCCCCGTCCCTCTACTCCACAGTTATCTCCCCGTGTGTGTATTCCTCCTTCAAGCGCCGCGACTTCAGGACTGCCCCATCCATCCATCCATCCATCCATCCACCCATCCATCGATCCCCGCCTCCTTGTGATTACAAAGAAAGAAGCGGAGCTCAAATTGTCAGCCATCAAGACATTTCCTTCCGCCGGCATCTCGCTCTAATTACAGCAGGAGTTTAGTGCATTTTCCAGAGTCAACGAAAGGAGGGAATGCTCAATTTCTAGATCTAGCCCGAAGAACAAACACTGTTATCGTCTCTCGCGCGCTTACCCGACCTTGGCCGGGAAAAAAAAAATTGTCCGTGCTGTTTTGCTCTTGTTTTGCCTGCAGCAGGCTCGAAATACGATTCGCCGGTGACACTTTCATACCTGAATCGATTTAGTTTAGAGAAGAACTTACGCGTCGACGGTCAACGTCCCTTTAAAACAATAATACTATTCTGAAACAAGAGGGCAGCTGAGCTGTGAACATACCGTCTTATTCTGATTGAAGAAAGTTGAACAACCCCATTATTTTTTCCCGAATTGTGTAACAGGTGTCATTCGCAGCTGTGCGAATGCGAGTCTCACAAAAAAGATAATTTATGTAAAGAGAACACTCTAACATTTGTGGTGAGTTCTCTTCGTAGCCACGAGGAAACTGGGACAGCTATAATCATACCATTGATTTACTATTACAAGGTTAGCCAGCCCGGATATTCCCACATTCTCGGCGCAATTTGAACCTTGTTATCATCTCTCATCACAGTTTTTCCCTCCATACAAAGCGAAGTAAAACACTTCACGCAAATCTTGTAAATTATTTTTATTGCTGTTGATTGCTCCAGAACTTAAGACTTAATCAGCACAATTTTTACATTCAAGTTTGATCTGTGATTTTCTTTTCACTGTGAAAGGCTCAAAACTTTGAGACTTGCAATTTTTTTGCCTGAAGCAAGAAAGAAATTCCGTGACATCCTATAGAAAGGGGAAAAAAATCCACCCTATCGTAGAAGAGGAGATAAACTAGAGTGACCCTGTCAGACCAGAGAAGTGACCAACTATGCTTGTGTCTCCGCGAGCCTTAGACATGAACGCCAACGCTGAGTTCAGCCCTCTCCACCAGCGACGTCTGAAGCAACAAATGAACAACACCCGTCTCCATGACAACCACCGCCACCACTTGCTAGCCCATCTCGGACAGAATCAGAACACGACAGCGTTCATGCAACAGCAACAGCAGCAACAACAACAACAACAGGATCTCAGCCGAAGGGCGTTTCAGAACAACAGCACCGCAACCAAGTCCAGTTTCTCCCCACGTCTTGGACACAGGGTCAAGTTCCCGCCACATATCACCATCTGCGCGCCGGACAGCGGTGACGTCACAGCTCTGAAGTACGAAGAACTGGACAACGAGGTGTTCCACTCTCCCCCCTCCCCCACCACGTCATCCCCCACTCGGACCCGTGCTGTTCCGTCGGACGAAAAACACGAGGTGCACGCCGGGAGACTTTACCTCATACGCCACTCCGGAAGCGGAAGCAGCGGCGGCGGAGGCTCGCCAGTACCGCCATCTTCTCCCTCCAAGTCGCCGAGCCGGTCCCCCGTGACGTCATTCCCCTTCCGCTCCTCCCCACCTTTCATGACGTCATCACAGTCTTCATCGCCCTCCTCCTCCACCTCCTCTCCCCCTCCCTTCTCGCCTTCCCCCCTATCCTGCTCCCCTCCCACTACAGGCCAAGGTAACAGCCCCCTGGGACCCCGCAAGACGTCTGTGTACGTGCGAGTGTACCGCTGTAACCTGGACCACTTCGCCGTCATATCACGTGACGCCGTCTACACCGCCAAGCCCGTCTACGTCAACATCCGGAGGTGCAGACTCATCCCCGGGGACACCCTGGGCCGGTTCGTTTTGGCGGGAAAGCTGGACTCAGGAGAGCTGATCGAGTTCGAGACACCCGAGCTGTCTTCTCTGGAGCAGTGGCTGGACGTGTTCCAGACGTGCACACCGCCCGGCTCCCCGTCACGTATGGCAGGAGGGGCGGGCTCAGGGGCTAACGCGGCCAGTGGAGGCGGGGCGGGGGGCGGAGCTAACGTAAACACTCCGCCCATTCCACGGAGCCCCGCCCTCCCGACGTTAACGGAGACGGACGAAGAGAACTGAAGCAAGAAAAAAGAAAAGATTGAGAGAAAGATATTATAAAGAACGTGACAAGTTTCGACTTGACCCACGAGAGTCTCCCGTTTGGCGCCCCCCACCAGGGCTAATGTTGTCAGCAGACGCCGCAAAACGCCCCATCCCACAAGGGCTTAGGACGTCATGTGCATGAACTTTTACTGAGTCAGACTTTGCTGGATGAGACGCCACCAGTACTCGACACTGCAGTGTAGCAGTCAACGTCTCCTATCAAGTCCTCCCCTTTCCAGCTTCCGGACAGGATGACTTTTTTTCAGCCCTATCATTGATCAGGCTGTTTTAGCCAGCAATGTTCTGCGTGCATGGACATAGATACAAGCTCAAACAGACGAGTGTTGTTGTTATTGTCCCCCTGTTTATGTACAAGACTTTAAAGTACATCACAAGACTTGTACAGAACATCTCTCCGGACTTCATGAACTAAACGTGTATGTTTATTTTTGTCTGGACCATAATTCCATATTTCCGTACAATTTTCAAAGAACTTGATCGCCGGTTATTTTGATAGTACCGGGAATTGGAACACCATACGTTGTGATACATTCTTAACCTCAATATTTATTGAAAAAAATACCATACCGTTCCAATTTAACAATATTCATATACTGCCACCCCTTACCCAACACAATAGAACAAGCAAAAATCAAATGGTTCAAATGTTTTCTCTTTACCAATCTCCCCCCCACCCAACCTCCTTTTCACCTTTAGAAAATAGTAACTCTTCGTTTTAGATCAAGAGAGGCAAGTCGACTTAGAATTATTTTGTCCAAAGTCTACTTAAGTAAAGAGGTACTTTGGACAAAACAGTTCTGAGGAGACGCAAGGTCAATACGATTTTTTTTTTCATTATCGAAACGAAGCAAGCCTTTAAAAAAGAGGAGAGTACCGCCTTGTTGAGAGGGTAAGGGTTCCCAGAAAGGCGGACAGACTTCACCCTTCCTTCTGTTTTGATTCTTAATGACCTATTGCCGCCACCACTGTTGGGTGATCAGACCTCTACTGGTGTTGTTAAGTGTTACAGAGTTTAGGCTCGAAAACCTTGTGATTGTTGTAACTTCAGACCCTGAGTAGGTTTGACTACGCAACGTTTTGTTTTGTATCTAAACACCCAAGTCTCATGAACGGTGATTTAGATTTGTTGATGGCTTGAATACTTGGAAATACTACTGTCTCAAATTATCAATTCTATATGGTACTTTAAACGGTGAGATTCAATGTATTATGCTTTTGGTTATGTCTTATAGGGTGTCCAGACGATGGAGTTGTACAAACGCCAGCGTTCGACATGCTAGTCATAGTAATAATACTCATCATCAAATTCTCATTCAGAATAAATCACTCTTTTTGCTTGAGTAAAGAGAAGCACTATGACACAATAATGGTTATTTAGTGCAGGAAAACTTTTAAAAAAAAGATAGACAGACATAAGCAACAGAGGGAAAGTAAATGAGTAGGACCTAGCTAGCAGTGGCGCCCTTCATCAACCAGCACTCACTCTGTGATGAACATGATCGCTATCAAAGCAGGTTAGAGAACGTTGACCGAATCCGACAAAATGCACGGTCTGCACATCCTACTCTTTTACTTTCCTCATGTCTCTTAAGAAAAGGCAAATCTCAATGACCATGATGTATTCTCTTTCCGTTGGTGTTGTCAGTGGTTGGTATCCTCATGTCTGTTCTCTCTCCATGTTGCATCGTTTATCACTTTGGAGCAAGAAAAACATCATATTATTTGTATTTAGCTTCAGCTTTCATGACGAGGCAGCGTTCTAAGGTATCAAAGAGTGACTACCCGAAGCATGTTGGAATAAATACATGCTTTAGGAACGCGTATGGCATTGGTATCTCAACAAAAAAAATCCCAACCAAAAATTGCCAGAGAGAAAATATCACTATGGCCTCGCTTGCAGCATATTTGTAATCCATGCTTAGAGCATAATATTCTGTGTGTGGTGAGCTACCCCTCTCAAAAAACACTTATTGTGAGCAATGCTTTTGTTGTAAACTATTATTTCTTTCATATACAATTATAATATACATTCCCTTATCTGGTCTAGTCTGGCCTTCATGTGGGGCGCACACCAGTTTGGAAATACCCACATTTTTGGGGCTGCGAAGATTATGCTTAGACATTACCTGGTCGATTCCAGTTTGTGTATTGGCCTGTCCTAATTCTTAACCTGCATTTGCCTTGGAGACCCGAACAAATGTGTGTCCTGCGTGATATGCCAGACTAGGGATTGATGTAAAAACTTCTCGTTATCGTGATATAAAAAAGAAACTGTGATTGAAATTTATTTTCAGTAATGTTATGGTCTTGACATATCTGTAAGCACCTTGGTGTGCGAACAATTTGGTCTACATCAAAGTACTCTTTCTATGGGGTTGATGTTGACTGGCAGGGAACGCAAACATGACGCCATCTTGAAAGTCAACTACAGAGACTTTAAACGTTACACAGTTCAGAAACTTCCCAAGAACTCTTTGGGCATCTGCTATTTTTATTCCGGTGGAAATGCTCCCATACGTCACTTCAACTTCCCTTTTGATAAAATATTATATAAAAAATGTATAAACAACTTTCAGTCGATTTATGTGACTGATAAGTACTCTTCTGGACTCCTTTCAGTGTGCCTGGGTGTCCGACGAATTGATGATTAGATATAAAATAGGGGTCAAGAATAAAAAGACAGACGGGATGTATCTTTTTTTAAAATTTAAAGTATTTCTTTGGGGTAGCAAATGTAAGAAAATAAGGATACAATAGCCTATATTTTCAAATCTATGAAAACAAGTTGAATGCTCTGAAAAAAGCCAAAACTGCCCGATGCTTTGGTCTCTGTCTTTTTACAGAATTGTTGGTGTTTCTATTTATCTGCCCATTTGTTTGATACAATACTCCCCCACCCCATCCCATTTCCCCAATATTTACTGTTCATTCTGCTTAAGTCTTTCTGTCAATGGTTGACCCTTTTCTTTTTCCCATTGTGTCACTCTTTATAGTCTTAATGTTATTTGATGGAGAGAATCTTGTTCTCTTTGATGACGACAAATGAAATATTTGTGATTTGATGCTTTTATTAAAAAACTGTTTACATTTTACTACGGTGTGTTTCGTTTTTTTGTACACACTTCACTTCTTTCTAGATCTGTGGAAAACAGTATCCATCTTCTTATCCCCCCCCCCTCTCTCTCTCTTTCTCTTTCTCTTTCTCTCTTTTGGTCTTCGCCTCTCTCACTTTTTCATTACAATTTGTAAGTGCTCATGGGTGTTTGTGTGTGTGTGTGTGTGTGTGTGTGTGTGTGTGTGTGTGTGTGTGTGTGTGTGTGTGTGTATGTGTGTGTGTGTGCGTGTGTGCGTGTATACATGTATGTGTGTGTGTGTCCATGTATCTGTGTGCGCGTGCTTGTGCAAACATACACCTAAATACAAAATAACGCTTGACTAGAGAGCAGGTGTCCAAGGGATGCAAGCAGTAATTCAAACAAATAACATATGATTACCTCCCTTTACACCGATTCTCAGATTGAATGCAGCAAGATTTTAACCCCTATACAAACTTAATTAGATCTAAGAGTTATGTGGCAATTGCATCTCAATAGGTCATTTTAAAAAATAATTCTTATTGCATTTGAAACACAATTATACAGTTATGTCAGATAAGTGCTGTAGATTAGGTGTTACAAGAGAGTAACAAACATATAAAGAAGGAGAGATATGGATGATAGTGTTTAATACGAAAGAAGGAGTAAACTGCACTCACCAAAGACCCATACAAATAGGTCATCTAAGTGACGAAGAGGATGCTTTACTAGAGAGTAACATACACAGAAAAGGAGGAGGAGACAGGGTACGGAGTACGGACGTTTGAAGTTTGATTTGAAAGGCCCAAACCACATCTGGGGAACCATAAACATCCACACAAAAATGCAGAGACTAAGTGCCAAAGGACCCACGCACATAGGTACCCGAGATTGCAATATTCAGAAAATGTATGCAGGTGTCATTAAGTTGATTAAGCTTATAATGGTCCAAAGAGACAAGTGACAATGGATGCAAGCATTGCACCGAGTCTCCCCTCGAACACGGCTTGGGGTTATTTCTTGTTTAGTTTTAGTAGAGGGTTTAACGGCGCTCGCAACAGTATAAGGTCATATGAGCGCCAAGGGGTGGGTGTCAACAGAGAAGTCTTTACAGGGAATCAGGCTTACTCTGCTCACCTCTCTAGCTTCAACAGCCCAAAGTCTGTTTCGACTATCAAGGCACCCCGGAAATAACAGGTCACAAGAGTGTAACATACATACAAAACAAAGTAGAGGAAAATGACGATAGTAAGGATTAGGAAAGAAAAAGCAGCAGGTCCCTGTTGCAGATCAGGCACAGTTATGAGCGTGACATGATGAATCATCCCATTACAATTCTACTGTGTATGAACGAGAAATGTCCCCCCTTTGGGAATGGCCTACAGACATTAAAGTCAGTGGCACTGCCCCAGGGGCGGGGGGGGGGGGGGTATTTCTGAACACAACGCAGCAGTCTCTGGTTAATTTACCCATTCGGCACAGGATGTAGAATGTTTTATTCAGTTGTTGCTGTTTTTGTTAATGATGATGCTTTGTTGTTATGATGTTGTTGTTATTGTTGTTGTTGTTGTTGTTGTTGTTGTTGTTGTTGTTGTTGCTATTGTTGTTGTTGTTTTCTTGAACGCAATGACGACTGACAAACAAATACTGAAGGTGGATTACTTGTTCGTTCTTTGTTTAAAACAAAAGTACTAGTGCAATTAGAACTTTTTGTTGTAAAACAACGACTTCTTGAACGAAACACCCGACGACATTGCAACTATTCCTCAATAAGTTGTAGTTGTATCCTAATGACTTTTACGATCACCCGGGTATGGACGAAGAAACACAGATTGGCATGTTGGGTCACCTGAAGACATTTTGTTGCTCCGGTACTTTTCTAAGAAATGGAATATTGTATTATTCTTTCTTTAGATCACTAAGAACATTTCCTAAACAAGGCAAACACATTTTCAAAAAATAGATAATCCGAGGAATTTGCATAATAAAGTTTGAAGTCGAGAATGCTTTGTCAGCCGGCCGTGAATAAACATATTAAAAACAATGTCATTTCTTTAATGTTATATTAAACACCGTCATTTCATATATTCTGTTATATCAAATTTGGAACTAGCGTTTCAAAATGACTTTCTAGTGACTTTCTTGCTGGATTTTGAAGACCACGAGAGAAATATTTTTAACTTTATGTTCCCTTCTGAATGACCTATTTGTGTGGGTCTTTTTTTTAAAGGTAAGTGCTTTTACGCTCCCTCGGACACAGTTTAAAACAATTAGAACGCGGACGTCAAATCACTCGTCGTGACCAACCCAGGCTGAGAAGTATACAACATCCCAGCAGAAAGGGTGAGGTGCTCGATACAAAAATTGGTCGTTTTTAAGGACAAGTGGGTTAACCCAGATTTCGGAGGTTTCCAGAAATCTTGACTTACACCAAAAGTGGGCATTGCACTACCTATAGGAGAAGTTTGGTTTCAATGGTGTGTATATTTGTTTGGTCATAGAGAAAACTCTCCTTGCCTTTTAAAGAAACTGAACAAGGGTCTAAAAGCTTCACCTTCGATTTTCTCAAAACAGCAATTTTTGGGACAGCCCCGTTGTGCTTAAAAGCGACCCATTGTCCACAGGAGAGAATCAAACTTTTTTCTCTTGCGAGCGAAGGCAAACTGCCTAACCGCTACACCGGTACCAAGATGTCTCGAAGCGCGTTGGCCCTAATGATTCGAAGCGTTTTACGTCGACGTCTCAGCAACCAAAAATGTGAATAAGGCAGCAGGTTGCTGTGGCCAGATCTTTAGGGGATACTAATGTGAGGCAGCGTGGTGGAATCAGGCTCTCGTCAAAATTATCAAAGTGAAGAAACTTGCATTTTTCCGCAGGTTTGTGAATGTTATCAAATTTTTGTTTTTAGGCTCAACACCTTTCTTGTCCATTAATGAACTCATTTCTGTGTTGATTTTTCTGAAAAACGTTGATTAAAGGCACAAACGATGTAAATTTTCAGTTACCACGGACTCTTAAGCTAAGGAAATAACTAATCTTTGGCGGCCATTTTCTCACTAATTTTACCTCTAAAAACAGGTGACCCCCACCTCTTTCATTCTCAGATATCTCGACCTGTAATTAAGATAAACGGGTATTTTTTTCATCCAAATACAGACCAGTGAACAAGCTTTAAGATGATACCAATAACTCGATGTGCTCAAAAAATGACGAGAGCCTGATTCCACCACGCTGCCTCACCTATACTCTACGACAAAACTTGCGTCTGGGATGTAGCGCTTAAGTAACCCATACACGCACAAACTTTTGGTCAAACTTTTTGACGTCAAAAGTACTGACAGTTTGACGTTTTCCGTGCACGCTCAATACATTGCGCAATTATCAGTTTGTATCTGGACCTCGCCATGGATGCACCTACAGCTTTGGCCCTTGCTTTAGTCTTCAGGCGAGAAAACACGAAAAAGAAACGAAAGTGGGAACAGAAAGGGCTGTCTCTTCTTTAGATGACACCAGGCTGATATTTTCTATCCCGCGGCAAATAACAAAATGAAGTTTGGCAATAGTAATTTGATGGTTTGCGCCAAAAATATATAATTTTTTGGATATGCTCAACATTTTGACAACAATACTTAGAGGACACCAATATCAGCCATATACGATAAAAAATGGTCAACTAAAGTTAAACGTCAAAAATTTTGACCAAGCTGTTTTGGGTATGTTATGTGCCATTTTCGGCGCTTTGCAGGCACACACGAAAAACATGAGTTCGATCCACGTGTAGTGTGAATCTTTGTCGAGTATCTCGGTCTTTCTGCAGGGACGTTGTATTCCTCTAAGGCCTTGTTTTGTCGATGGGCGCTTAACTGTCCTAATTTGAAAAAAAAAAGAAGAAGAAAAAGAAAAAGCAAAGCAAAAGGGGTACTCGACATATTATTTCACTCACTATCCGTGTCGAACAATAAATTGTGTCCAACTATAACACCACAGACAAAAAGTGTTGAAAATCTACAAGGGAGGAACTTCGTGCTTGGTCGAGGTTTGAACTCCGTGGGCAAAGTGAAATGGCGTGACATATTTTTTCCCCTCAACCATCTGACCAACGGACCGTTCCGTTGTTAAGCTGTTTGGTGCAAACACGGACACAATTAACTAGACCATGCATTGGATGTATTTTATTGTTGATCCGGTTAATATTTTTAATACGCCCTGCAGGGCCAAAACACGTTTTGGGGGAACAAGAAAGTACTCACTCGATCCTATGACAGGACATACTATTCATATACAAAAGTGTCGAGATGTATGATATATACCGGCTTCAATTCGATCTGGGTCTCACTAGAATAATAATCTGAGGGTGTGTATGTGCTTGTGTATGGTTTGGTGCTTGCTTTTGTGGTTTGCTTGTGCTTTTTTTTTTTAGCACTTACGAGTGTTTCTGTCTATGAGTGGCTGTATAGTGTTTTCCCGCAAAGTATTTAACTGTAATTTTTTGTTGATATAATTGCTTAGATAAACGGCTTGAACTGAAATTAAACAATGAAGTTGAAATTGAACTACAACGTGTATTACACCACGGTTAGAATTTACGTAAGCGGACTTGTGGATTTATAACTCTGTGCAATGTCCACTGCATTCACTTAACTGGGTTTTTTTTTATATATGGCTAAAAACCTGTAATCCATTCTAAAAGGTTGTGTTCTTTTATGAAGCCTGCATCAGTAATACGTTTTTTGGTTATCTCTCGAGGTCTAAGAGAAGTGGAAATAGTAGCGCATGAAAACAAGATTTGCACTCGCGCGAGTGTGTATTTGTGTGAGTGTGCATGTGTGTGTGTGTGTGTGTGTGTGTGTGTGTGTGTGTGTGTGTGTGTATTTGTGAGAGTGTGCATGTGTGTGCGTGTGTGTGTGTGTGTGTGTGTGTGTGTGTGTGTGTGTGTGTGCCGGAACCGAAAACTAAAAAGTTATAAATACAATCCAAAAAAGAAAATGATTCAGATTATCAGCTATATTTTCTTAGCTAACTATGGAGCATTGATCAATGCAATTTCAAATGATTCTGTAGGATAAGTGTTAGAGTATATAATATCATATCTGTTTTTAAGGTGCCATAAACCCAAAAAATATTATATATGTCTCTTGAAAACGTTCAGAGTGAACTTGCAAACTGTCAACAGACTTAAGCACTGTAATTAGCAGCTTCATGCCGAAGTAGGGCCAAGACCACACGAATAGTATATAACGAGACAGCATTTTGTCGTTTATGCATTCATCAAGTTCATCCAGATTCTCAGGAGGAACGTGTGTGATTTAGGTGAGTACATTAAAGTTTACAAACTCTTTCTTTTTTGGCATTTTGCTGCTACGAAAACCATAATATATTAAACACAAACAGACGCCTCTTTAAAATGTTGCTGCTGCAGTTCATGTTGTAGGTCCGACGGCGTTCTGATTTGTAAATGTAGACGATTTCAAAATCGGAAACTTGGTCCTCTATCTACATAAAACCTTAACTTGGTTGGCTGGTTGGTGCTCTTTTGGGCTTGACCACTTATTCCCTATCAAATACCCCTTTTCTCTCTCTCTCTCCTCCTTTGCTTCGTATGCTAATCACTAGTACCGCTTAATTTTCTGCGATTATGACCATTATGATCCAATTGTGCAGTAAGTGCGGTAAAACTCTTGCTGAAACTAAACTAGTACGACAATCACACGACTCTTTTGCCTACATGTGTTCTTAATATTTGCGTCAAATGTATTAGCTTCTGCTATTTTTCTCCTTCCTAACTACACTTCTGTTGTACAGATTGCGTTGATAAAGTCCTTAAACACTCAAACGTAAGTCGATTGTGCCGTAAAACTACTCAATCAAACACTCAAACACTACTAATTACTACAGCAAGTGTTGTGTTCATTTGTTGGTAACGGTGATATATCGGTTTTCTCTGACCAAACCGTATAGAAAAGTGTCCCCAAAACTCTGCTCTGCTCAATCAATCCTTACTTCTCCCCCAGAAATGTCTCCCGTCGCCATTATTGCTTGTGTGTGTCTGGCGTTGACGCTGACAAGTATCTCGCCCAGCGAGGCCATCGTCCCCACTCGCGAGTTGGAGAATGTGTTCCTTGGCCGCTGTAAGGATTACGAGATCACCCGATACCTGGATATTCTTCCCAGGTAAGACTCCACATTTTCTTGTTCGTGCTTTTGCGGTTAGGTTCGTCCCTTTTTCTCGCAGAAGTGATCAAAATGTGTCAGTACTGCTAAAAATACACGTCGTAAAAATTACTTGTGAAAATTATGCAAAAGATAAGGTCTCGTACATACGGTAGAAAGATGGTCTATTTCTCGCTTTTATTTGCCCCGGGATAAGTGCTTCAGATCGTTTTCTTCGTAGCTCTCTCATAAAGTGTCTGAACCGAGATAGTGTGTGGGGTGGGGGTGGGGTTGATAAGGAGTCATATTTCTAACGAACAATCGTCGCGCTGGACTACAACACGTGCTTGCCAACTTGGTAGGCTCGTGGATGTTCTGCAATATTGCTGTCCTTCGTATCGGAGGCCCATTCATTAGGCTACGGGCCCCGTAATCGTGAGATTTCGTGTTCGGGTGTTCGAACTATGGCTCAGTCCGATTTTTGTGCTCTTGGGATAGTCACTCTTTACACGATGTCCCCTCTAGTTCGGCCCTTTAGGAGGCGGTCTTTAAAACTCGGAGGTACCGCCTCTTAAATAGCCTCATAGTGTTGACCTATACCATTTCACCAATCGTGTCTGCTCCTAGCGAAATGCAGCCGGTGCGAGGAGTTGATACTGTAAACCGAACGCTTCAGCTACTTAAAAAAAAAAATCCAATGGCGACAACTCCTAACAATGAAAAATCTATTCTGGAGTTCTTTTTTATATTCGCTTGGTTACAATTAGAATTTTATTCCCCTGTTATAAGAATGAAAAGACACAAAGGCCCCTTTTGTCGTTTATTTTTTGTAACGTCCCCAATTTCATCCGTTTCTCCTCCGTTTCTCCCCAGAGTGAGATCGGACTGCTCGGCATTATGGAAGGACTTTTTCAAAGCCTTCTCCTTCAAAAATCCCTGTGATCTCGACCTTGGAAGTTACAAAGATTTTTTCACTAGTGCGCAACAGCAGCTGCCAAAGAACAAAGTGAGTCGTAACAAGTACGCTTTTAGTCTTTTGTACAGGGCGATTGATGAATATTGTCGTTTGTTCCTTTTGTTTCAAATTTTATTTTTATTAACGTCAAAACGGGATATGTTGCCGCTGTAGACCTCAAGGTCTCTGACTTAAATACAGAGCTCCTAGATTGTCCAAGGACTTATGTTAATAGACTCAAAATGATACCTCCCTTTTATCATATGACCGTATTCAGTTGCGAGGGCCGTAAAAAACTCTGACTAAAATATAACGGGATCATGGATTGTTACAATAAAGCTTGTTGGCATGACCAAAATTGAGTCGACAGTGCCGTAACACCTATTCAAGCTCATCTTCAAAATTACACCTCGTCAATACGTTTTAGAATAAAGGAAAATATAAGGGCGTGCCATTACAAGTGATAACAAATGCATCGTTATTCCCTTAAAACAAAACTGCCTTTCTATCACAGGTAATGTTCTGGTCTGGAGTCTATGACGAGGCTCACGATTATGCCAACACCGGCCGGAAGTACATCACTTTGGAAGATACGCTTCCGGGTTACATGTTGAACTCTCTGGTTTGGTGCGGCCAACGCGCTAATCCAGGATTCAACGAAAAGGTGTGCCCGGACTTCAAAACGTGTCCAGTGCAAGCTAGAGAGAGCTTCTGGGGAATGGCGTCAAGTTCTGTAAGTAGTGGTGGTATACATTTTTTTTAAGGCACAGTGCTTTACCTCGCCGTCATTTAGTTTCTGCTTGGCATAAGATTTATCTTTGATTGTAATGCCAAGCATTACTGATCTGTAAGCTCTGCTGGTGGTTGGTCTGTATTGAAGTTAAGTAGGCTGTATCGGTGTGTGACTGTATTGAGGTTTTGAGTATAAGTGGGTGCACTATTTTGAGGTATTTGGGCTTTATTGGCGGGTGGGCTGTATACTATAGTCATTAATGTTGGCTGTATTGGACAGTGTATTGTATTTAAGTAGTGCGGGCTGTATAGAGGTATTTAGCTGCATTTGTGAGTGTGGGCTGTATTGATGTGTTCATTGGGCTGTATTTGTGGGTGTAGTGCATTGAGGTTGTGAGTTGTATTGGTGTGTGGACTGTATTGGAACTAATGATGCTGTATTGGGACGTGAGTAAGCTGTTTGAGTAATTTTCCAACACGTGATACTTCCCTCAGTATGCTCACAGTGCAGAGGGAGAAGTGACCTACATGGTCGACGGTTCGAATCCCAAGGTACCAGCTTACAGGCCAGACAGGTTGGTCAATTTTATCTACTGTCAAGATAATCCCATATCCTCAACTATCTCCCATGACTAAAATTGTCTGTAATTCAGAATAACATGTACTCGAACTCCAATATCTTCTTAGACTGCAAAATAATTGCAAGCTCTCGCCCTAAAGTTATAAAGAAAAATCTAAAAACAATAAAACTTTTAAAGCACTTTGGTAAATCCATTCAAAGCTACAGTAGAAAAGAGTTCAAAACAAGAGAATCCTGACTGCGCAACACAATGATGACAAAAGTATGAATTATCAGTATAAAGTAGATCTGACTTTAGTTGGAACGTGTGACTTTAGGTTACCGTGTATCCATCTGGCTTTAGTTGGAGCGTGTTACGTTAGGTTACCGTGTATCCATCTGGCTTTAGTTGGAGCGTGTTACGTTATGTTACCGGTATCCCTTACCTCAGTTTTGCTCCTTTTTTGCTGCACCTACTGAATTATTTTTGTTTTGGTATCCTTTCCCCATTTTCCTGTCCCCAGTTTTTTTGGCAAGTACGAACTGCCCAATCTGACTAACAAGGTGACAAGGGTAAAGGTCATCGTCCTGCATCGGCTCGGGGAAAAGATCATGTGAGTAGGAGAATCTCTGTCTCTGTCTCTCTCTCTCTCTCTCTCTCTGCTACTGTTTTCGGGAACTTTTTTAAAGATAAGGGATGGATTGTTGGTGGATGAACCTCCAGTAACAAAAGACAGTGTCTTTGGTAAGGGGAGTTTGGCTTTCCAAGATCTCGTATTCACTTATTTAGACACCCCCCACCCAAAAAAAAACACAAAAAAAAAAAACACATCCGTCACGGCACTTGCACTTTCTATTGCTCAAATTCATTTCTATTACACAGATTATTTCAAGATGTGAAAAATGCTTTCTGGTTGTATTAGTTAACATTGTCTTGCCACTTCTAAAACTTTTTCTTGCATCTGATCCCAATGATCTCATAGATTCTCTATGAGTAGTTTATCATGGTGCGTTAAACCCAGCGAATTTACCACTGGTGTAATCTTGCCGGCTCGTGATCCCCTGACACCCGAAAGGAAGGGTGGCCTGATGGTGCTTAAATGACCAAAATTGTGTCGATAGTGCCGTAAAACATCTACCCAATCAATCAAAAGGAAGGGTGGTAGGTGGGCGCTCTTTAGTTTACTCCTTTTCTCAAATTTCTATCATCCTTACCATTTCTCATTTTCTTGGTATGTAAACTAAAACGTCACACCCCCAAATCCTCTCGATCCTCCCCCACAGAGAGAAGTGCGGTGCAGGATCTTTGCTGGACCTTGAGAAGCTTGTCAAAGCCAAGCATTTTGCATTCGATTGCGTGGAAAATCCAAGGTAAGTTCTTGCTGTCGTCGGTATCACTATTCTAGTTCATCTACTTTTCCTTCTTCTGTCTGTTCTCCTCTACTTTTCCTTCTTCTCTCTGTTCTCATCTGCTTTTCCTTCTTCTGTCTGTTCTCATCTACTTTTCCTTCTTCTGTCTGTTCTCATCTACTTTTCCTTCTTCTGTCTGTTCTCATCTACTTTTTCTTCTTCTGTCTGTTCTCATCTACTTTTTCTTCTTCTGTCTGTTCTCATCTACTTTTTCTTCTGTCTGTTCTCTGTTCTCATCTACTTTTTCTTCTGTCTGTTCTCTGTTCTCATCTACTTTTTCTTCTTGTCTGTTCTCTATCTCCATTCCGTCCATTCATACAGGAAGTGATAGGGCTAAAATAAACCTCTACATAGGCAGATGCGCGCACCACTTTAGGAAAGGAATGAGTTGCTGTAAACGGCGAATTGATGTGTTTCCCCCGATCCAATACATGCGGCGGGCTAATTCCTTTACTATAATTTGCTATCTACCTGCGATAGCAAGTATGGTCTATAACACCCACTCCAACAGTTTCCTAGATCTGTCTTGAGCAGATTTATGAAAATCGAATATCTTGTCTTTTTACCGGGACGTTGCATCCCTCTTGACCCAGATTGGCTTTGGCAGACAGGATCAATGTTACCTAAGCAGCCTGCCGCTTAATCAAGTTGTGTCGATGGGAAAAAACCTTGACATTAAAGTTTTATGCAGGGTTCAATTAGCCCGCCTATGATTTAGCCCTAAGAGGAGCTTAAAACCCTACAGGTTGCATTCAAGGTGTGCAATGTTTGGTGAGCAATGTTTGGTGAGCAATGTTTACCTTTCACCTTATTATAGATTATATAGATCATAAAGAGCAGAGAGCTTGCTGCCTAGAGTGAATTTGTGCTATATTAATGCTGCTTATTCTGATCCTAATTACCTTTTTCTGGTGTCCTTGCGTGTTTAATTATAAATTTATCGTTGTGATGGTTCTTTATAAGGCTGAACTTTTTTCTTGTTGTGAAATATTCTATCCGGTGTGAATGAATTATTTTTCAGTAATCATGTGATAAAAGTAAAACGCCCGGAGCTTGTACTTGTATCTTTTATTATACTTATAGTCCTTCCTCAACACTCTACAGGGCTGTTCTCTTCTTGCTGTGCTCCGACAACCCCAATGCCAGAGAGTGTCAACTCGCTAAACGTTTCTACAGGATCGCCTAAATAATCCAGCACCGCTCGTCAACTATTAGAGGCGTTTCGTTAGAGGTTTATAATTTATTTTTTTTGAGAACGTGTCGACGGTGGCAAAATGGGGTCGTTTTTTAGTCATTAGTGTTGAAAATATATTGGGGGTAAAAATGGGGTGGGGCTGGGGCATTGCTGTTGACGATATAAAGTAAAGAGGGAGGGGGCAGCTCTTCACTTCAGTGCGCACAGCAGCTGTTATGAATTGAGGGCTCAACGTTCTCGAGTACATTTCAATATTAACTTCTTGATGTAGTACGCTCTTTACCAATTTCAAATTATTTAAAAGGTGTGCGGGCAAAGGTGTTGGTACTCTTTGATAACGATGTTGTAGAGGGTGGCTTTTCTTTGTTTTATTTTTTGTTGTTTAACCGACTGGTGGTTGGGTTAAAGTATGGATCTAAATGTTTGCCATGGGCTATGTGCAAGGCCTTGCTGCAACAGCAGCTGTTTCATGTCTTTTTGCTACTTTCCATTGTTGCCTGGTATGCTCATGCATACATCCTGAGTACGTCATGTATTTCTATTCTTTTTTTATAAGCTTTACTTTGTTTGCTTCAAGAAATGTGAAATTGAAATGGGTTTTTTTTTTGTGTCGAGTTTTGATATTTTCCTCCATCCTGTTTGTTTTAAGATTGACAATAAAAGTTATGCTGAACAAATGAATCGGCGTTTTCAGTTTGTTTTGTTTTGTGATTTTTATTTTTTTTTTGAGTTGGTTTTATTTCATCCCTCCCCTCATCCTTTTTTTCAATAAATGTCGCAGGTGTAATTGGGGTATAACTAAACCACACAAGGTATGTAGCATATAATTTGTAAGAAGAGACTTATGTCCTAGAGGATAATATCATTATCGTGGGGACGTTATTCCCCTATAGAGAGATGGTTATTGCATGCAGTGTTTTGCCCTTGCAATTGTCGTCTTGGAAAATGCATGTGTACAGTTTAGACTTGTGTTAGCGCATTGTATATGGATTATTGTCTGGTGCTCTGATTTAGTTTGCTTCTTTCCGATCCTTCTTTCTCGTCTTTTTCTTCTCTACGCCTACTCTTCGGCGCTTATATGACTTTTGCGTTGTGCAAGTGCCGTAAAACTTAACTAAAACAAAAATTATTTATATGCATGCCATAGAAACGGACCTTTGACTGACCTTTATAAACGTCAATCGTTAATCACTACAACCTGCAGGCTGTATATCGATTTCCGTTTGGTCGCTTCATATTTCATTTGGTGCTTTCTATTTGAAAATAAGCACGATGTCTTGTGCTTCTTGTGTCCAATCCATGTGCCAACAAAACCAGAAACTGCCCGACGGCTCTCTCGGGAAGTAGGTAGTTGCAATGGAGTCCTGGCTGTTACCTTAGCAATCGGTAAATAAAAAATTATTTCTACACATGTCCGCCAAAAGACTCCAAAAGTTGCATTAAAATTGACACTACCTCCCAACAACGGGTTGTCAATTGGAATGCCGTATGCAGCATTTAATCAGTCTTGTGATGACTTGTCATCCACAGGCTTGGCCACGGCTTCAAAATTTCCAATTGGAGTTTGAATGGGAAAATCAGTCATTCGTAATCAATACCTTCAAGATTATGAAGTCTACACGTAAAGCGCCTGGTTTGAACGCAACCATTAATTTTAAAAAAATATTTTTTCTTACTCCTTGGGTTCATGACCTCGACTCTTTACGGACCGAGAACGAGAATTGAGTCATCGGGGCTACTCGCACGTTGGACACGCACTCCGGAAACGAACAAACCATTTTGCCTTCTGACAAAATCGGGTCGCTACTACTTTGGGCACTCGGCCTTGGGTTGTGGTCTAAGTTGTATCTGAACTTCTTTCATAATACAATGACGTCATTGGCAGTGGTCGAAAAGGTGAAAAAACGAGTGGAAAAAGCACTGTGTCAAAATGGCTCCGGAACCACCCCCCCCCCCCCCCAATTTTTTTTTAAATTAAAAAGATTTAAATTTTAAAAATCTGGGTTTTGTCGAATTTGAACAGATTTATATTAGTTTCATATATCTTTCATCACGTTTGTCATTGTCTGTGTACATTCTCTCATCAAATTATTCCCTTCTATAAAATATGAAAGAATAACATATCTGATTCTTTTTTTTTCCCTTTTATTTCAGTACCAGGTACATACACAAATAGCGACATATCTCCCACGGGAATGCATATTATAGTTTTACTGCCAATGAAATAAACATAAACACAGAAATGAGACTGGAGAACAGCCTGCTGAACACAACGTTTACATAACATTCTTGTGACGGGTCCGTCTCTCAAATACTTGGCCGACACAAATAGAGCTTTACCTGGGGAAGAGAGAATAGACAAACATTATTACCAATTACTTCTCGTCATCCTGATCATCCATATAAGGCGGACCCTCCATAGACGGCACACGGCATGCCGCACATGACTTGTCGGCACGTGCCGTGCCACAGGCTAATACCCCTCCCTCCATAGGCCATAGCACGACATCACAACACAACACATCACAACCATGGATTCGTCTGATGAAGATACTCTGATCATGTTAGCAATTCTAAATAATCGGAAAAAGAAGAGGAAAAAGCGGACCATGTGGTGCAGAGAGCGTTCGTGATGCATTATCAGAAGGTGGGTCTTCAGTGGGTCTGAGTACTGGCAAAACGACCTTGTTTTCCGAAACGTTACACATTGAAATAAAAAAAGTGACTCACCTGCTGGTAGACATTTACTGTCAATATATTCCCAGATACTCCGGGTTTTGGGGGTCCCAAAGAAGCGGTCGGTCTCTCACAAGTTCGATAATTTCTTTCTTGTAGTCATCCATTTTGGCAGCACACGACACAAAAAAACGAGCAATGCAGCAAAGCAAGGCACGCAATGTTTCGTCGTGGCTGTGTCGTGCCGTCAATGGAGTGTGCAACTCTAAATGGTTGTGTTTAATTTTATTTCGCACGCGTGCCATGTGCTGTGAGCTGCGTGCCGCGTGCCGTGTGCCGTCTATGGAGGGTCCGCCTTACAACCACAGAAGCCACGGAAGCAGCGACACCACAGTCTCGCTATCGTCAGTTGCAATGACGGCGATTTGTCTGAATGATTGACCAGGTCAAGGACACGTCTTTGCAACGTCTGTACCATACGACTGGGTGACGAAGTCGACATAGCCTTGCATCTTCTACTGGACGTTCTTAAATCAAATTTCCCCTTTAGGTTAGTGTTTACACGTTTCCTCAACTTTTCAAATATGTTTGGCTAAAGTTCTATCGGAGGTGGAAGCAAATTAGAACTTTTTAATATGTAGATCTAGGTGCCTTACGCCTCCATTGTCACAATTTAGCCCCTTTTGGAGATGGGCTTTGACCCTGCCTGTCACGGCCAACTTAGACTGAGAGGGCCACAAAGACATATTGAACAAACATACTTCTCACACAGGAATCGAACTCATATCTTCCGCGTGTGATGATAAAGCACCTAACCTCTGGACACCACAAACACCTGTGACCCCCTGCTTTGAAAAAGTCACTGTGCGGCAGGGACATGCTACTAGTACCATACCATAGGCCAGGGGAAATGACCATGATCTGGGAGAAGTGACGACACGACCTGGGTAAGTGACCACAGTGGTCATAGATCTGGGGAAGTGACCACCTTGACGTCATGAGTACTCACATAAGACACTGTTCCGCCAAACGGGTCGCACGGGTTTCCATAACAAATGCCTGAGCCAATGTTGACTGCTCCTTGCTTGCGGATGACCATACCTAGAGAACAGGAAGGGGGTGGGGGTGGTCCTCTTGGCTCTGGTGGTAGTTTAAGTGGTGGTGGT